TGTAGAGCTAACGAACATCTAACTAGTGAGAAATTTTAGACGAGATTGCACCATTTTGTTAAATTGCATCAACTCCAGAGGCTTTGTAGAGCTACGTGGTCCTCGAGGGTGAGTGGGTGGGCTCCTAAACAAAGCCTGATTGCAATGGACCACGTGAAGAGCTGGTTTAACCCCCCACGGGAGCTCCCCACGTACAAAACCAGAGCCGGCCCCAGCCAAGACGTACATTAATCCTAGCCAGATTGGGGACTGTATGAATTATGCTGAGAATCTTATCTGTTTCCTCCCATCGCCTGCTGGGTGAATTGATTGCGTTTTTTGGTCTTAATCCACGCCACGCCATGCATCTTGGGAAGCAACCGGGGAGCCATCTTGTATAAATAGAATTTAGGCTTGACAAAAGCCACCTCCAGCTGAGCAATGAGAAAGCATCCTTTTACCGCCGCGTCCCCCCGCTACGGCGAGTGGCATTTGAAAACAGCAAGCTGAGGTTTTCATGAAATTGTCGTATCGATTTTTCTGTTACTTTTCTGCAGCGGCAGCCTCTCCCGGGACATCATCTGTGCACATGACACTCATCAGGATGGATAAGCCCGTCTGGTAGAAAATGCCTTCTGTTGCGACAGTCCTGCAGAAGCGCATGCCACCAGCCAGAGAGAGAGAGTGTTTTAATGAGATTAATTAAATTGCTTATGAGTGATGGCCCTCCACCAATTACCTGGGCCATAATGCCGTTTTCCTCCACCCAGGGCATCACGCTCCGACGAGCTGTGCCAGCCTTCTGCGAGCGTGAAACGATTAATCATCTCATCACCATCCCAGGAGATGATATGACAATAAAGACAAAAGCTCCTCATCGGCTGTGTTTGTCTAAAGCCAAGAGTCGCCTCCTCAGCACGGACTCTGGAGGACTGTTAGCTGGAACGGCTGTAGTCTTTAAAGATACAAGCACTCATGTTGTCGTAACACAACACTGCAGAGGTTTGACTACAGGTTCATTTGTTTGCTATAATGAGGTCGTGCAGCTGACGATCAACCAAACGACAGGAGAGCGGAGGTGCCGCGACTGCTCTTTATTCCTGAGAGGAAAGCTGCTGGCTCCAGCCTCCCTCGCGTCTGTTTCCTTTTTCCCGCTGAAGGGCACAGAGGGTCAGAGACACAGAGGGCTCACAGCAGAGAGCACGGCAGCCAGGATCCAAACCGCAGCAGGACCCGCGCTCCGATTGGACAGCCGGCGGCTCCATGCGGTGCACCGCGCAGGCTTTTATTGGCCCTTCTCCATCACACCTGTCACACTAGATTGGGTTTGGAAGAAGTGTTTCCTTAGGCTGAAAAGGCCAAAGTAGATTAAGGGGGCAGGAGAGGCTGGAATGGATTACCACTGGAATGAGGCCAAATAGAATGGCGTGCTGACGGAATGCAGATCCTCGTAAACGGATCTGTATAATTTACTCTGGAGGCACAACAGGAGTTTTGAAACAATTTCAGGTCCCAGACTCCTGAAAAGATACCTTTCATCCTCAGAGGACACCAACAGAGAATGCATTAATCGTTCTTAAGCCTCATATATTATCTGTAATTGAGAAAGTTCCAGTGGAATTACGTTACAAAGATATTAATCTGTTTCTTAATTTGCTGTGGACCTCCAGGAGCCATGTTCACACCCCTGGAGACCCTCTGACCTACATTTTAGAAATGGTAGTAATAATGTTATTAGCGCATGGATAAATCACAAAGATATATGATTTTATTTCTTTTGATGCCATGATGTGACCAAACGATCATGCATCAAATATTTTTAAAAATTAAAAAATACTTTTTAAAATAAAGCTAAGAAAAACGTAATCTTTAAGAACAAAAATGTACATTTTCATTTTCTAATTTGGGGCTTTTTTTTTTCAAAAAGTATATTTTATTGCATTTTCAGTTTACTGTACACCTTTCACACATTATTATGTTGTATACTGAAAGTACATTCTGTATAAAATCTTAATGGAACAACAGAACAACAGAACATTTTAACAATTTTGGTTGTGCTTCTGGCGATCCTTTCCAACGTTAGTGCATTTATAGTATTGAAGGCAATATTCACATAGACATGTTTAATAAAACTTTGAGTAAGAAGTCCCCGAATTACACCTTACTTTTGCTTCTCCCATTACAATCTAAATGCTGGTCAGAAGACCGATTATTTTCCTACTCTCCCACTTTATAAGTCCTTAGCTTTTTATGTCCATCCTCTTAATATATGTTAGAAAAGGTGTCCATATTTCGTCAAATAAATGTTGCTTGGCCTTTAAGATATAGGTAATCCGTTCCAGCGGCATCACCTGTAACATCTGTTTCATCCAATCCTTCACAGTGGGTCTATGGAGCGATTTCCATGCCATAGCTATACACTTTTTTGCTACCATTAAACTAAGATCCAAAAAGACACGCTGACTCTTGCTATAAGCATACTCATTAGGGCAAAGTCCTATTAGAAACAATTTAGCATCCAATGGTACCTCCTTTTTGATAAAATTTGGGGCTTTTAATTAGAAAATTCATTTGTTTAAATAAAAATACCCTTATTTTGAATTTTGTGTTTATTAATACAGTTTAGGGACTTGATTGATTGATCAGCGCGAGATATTGGAGGTGTGGCATGAGAGCGTGTGAAGTGGGTGAAATGCGTGTGTACCCACAATAATGTATGCAGTAGATATTAACTAATTCTGTAGCTAAAGTAGCTGAAAGCTAATAATAGCTAACATGATAGCTAACTCAGAAGCTAAAGTACTAGCTAATATGACAGCTAACTCAGAAGCTAAAGTACTAGTCAATACGATAGCTAACTCTGAAGCTAAAGTACTAGTTAATACGATAGCTAACTCAGAAGCTAAAGTACTAGCTAATACAATATTTAACTCAGAAGCTAAAGTACTAGTCAATATGATAGCTAACTCAGAAGCTAAAGTACTAGTTAATACGATAGCTAACTCAGAAGCTAAAGTACTAGCTAATACAATAGCTAACTCAGAAGCTAAAGTACTAGTCAATACGATAGCTAACTCAGAAGCTAAAGTACTAGTTAATATGATAGCTAACTCAGAAGCTAAAGTACTAGCTAATACAATAGCTAACTCAGAAGCTAAATTACTAGCTAATATGATAGCTAACTCAGAAGCTAAAGTACTAGCTAATAATGATAGATAACAATAGCCAACATCATAACTAACTCAATAGCTAAAGTGCTAGCTAATATGATAGCTAATAATCATAGACATGAATAGGCAGACGCCCCATTGAACGCTGGAGAGCGCAGCAGTGTCGCCGCCATATTGGGTAGATTCCTCACTCTCCAAACCAATCTGGATTTTATATAAAAACATTATTTTTTCAATTTATATTTATGTTTTAACCATAATGCCGTACCATATATCTGATGTTGTGAATAAAAAAACATTATAAAATGTGGTTTTTAGATGGGTAAATACATTCCTCATGAGAAATACAGTGGGATGCAAAAGTTTGGGCAGCCTTGTTAATCTTCATGATTTTCCTGTATGAATAGTTGTTATGCTAATTTTTTTTAAAAAAAAGTCATATAGGAGACACATACAGACCGCTGTCGCTGAGATTTCAGCTGTCTGTTTCCAGGAACATATTGAGGAAATGAAAGACCACAGGCACAGTTCAAGTCAAAGCTTGAAGTAGCAGACCAAGAAAACTCAGAAAACAGAAGCAAAGAATGGTGAGAACAGTCAGTCAACCCACAGCCCAGTACCAAAGACGTCATCTTCCTGCAGATGGAGTCACTGTGCACCGTTCCAACTATTCAGCGCACTCTACACAAGAAGATGCTGCATGTGAGAGTGATGCAGTGGAAGCCTTTTCTCCACCACAGCACAAACAGAGCAGATTGAGGTATGCTAATGCACATTTGGACAAGCCAGCTTCATTCTGAAACAAGGTGCTGTGGACTGATGAAACTAAATTTGAGTTATTTGGGCTTAACAAGGGGAACGAGAAAGAAGAACACAGCATTCCTAGAAAAACACCTGCTACCTACAGTAAAACACGGTGGTGGTTCCTTCATGCTGTGGGCTGTGCGGCCAGTGCAGGGACTGGGAATCTTGTTAAAGTTGAGGGACGCATGGATTCCACTCAATATCAGGAGATTCTGGAAACCAATGTCCAGGAATCTGTGACAAAGCTGAAGCTGCACAGGGCTGGATCTTTCAACAAGACAACGACCCAAAACACTGCTCAGCATCTACGAAGGCATTCATGCAGAGGAACAAGTAGAATGTTCTGGAATGTTCATCTCAGTCCCAGACCTGAATATTAGTGAACACCTGTGGCGTGAGTTAGAGAGCTGTCCATGCTCAGAAGCCATCAGACCTGAATGAACTAGAGATGTTTGGTAAAGACGAATGGTCCAAAATACCTTCAACCAGAATCCAGACTCCCATTGGAAGCTTCAGGAAGTTTAAAGGCTGTTATTTCTGCAAAAGGTGGATCTGCAAAATATTGAGTTTATTTCTTTCTTGTGGTGCCCAAGTTTATGCACTTGCATAATTTTGTTTAAACATTATTGCACACTTTCTGTAAGTCCTACAAACCTTGTTTCACTTCTCAGATATCACGGCGTGTGTCTCCTATATGATATAATCACCTGAAAATTTTTTATCCTATCAACCAACAATTTATACAGTAATATCATGAAGATTAACAAGGCTGCCCAAACTTTCGCATCTCACTGTAAATACTCTTGGGGGGGTTCCAAGATGGCGGCCTGCTGCTACAACAGCACCAACAGGCGGCCCCAGTTTTATGTATTTTTATTTGTTATCTTTATTTCTAAAAGAGACATAGTTTGATGGCCTTTTGGGATATAGTTGTGTGCCACAATCCAGTTGTTCTTGGAAAACCAAAACCTTTCATAGATGTTGACACCATTGGGTCATTACAATCAACCTTTGAGAGTAAAACAACACCCCCGATATACCGTTTCATTATAAACAGTTTTTTTAATAAAACTAACAAAAATCCAACATTCACTCGGTCTAATGATCTGTGCAATTTTTTTGTTAAATGGAAACAAAAACAAAAAATTACAAAAATTCTTCGAACAATGCAATTTTTTTTACATTTTCTTTCATCGCCTTTTTAAAAAATTAGGTAAACACAATTTAAAGGAAGAAATATGATTTTAAAGTTTCCCACATTAAAACAAAAAAGACAATTAAACAATTAAAACTAATTCAATAATCTGCCTATAAATGTTAGGATGTTAAAATTAGCTAAAAGGCTACGTGAAAGCTAACGTGTATGAAAGCATGTTAGGGTCATCTAGAAAAGAAAAAAAATGGTGTTGTGATTAAAGACAAAACTCCTTCCCATAATAAAATCAAAATGGTTGTTTTGATTACTACTGGAACCAATGCAGCAGCATCCATAGTAAAACTCAATCAACTTCCTTCAGTCCTTCACAATAAGAGTCTCAAAAACACTTATATGACCTTAGCACTTGCAACACTTACATAAAGTATTTCTGAGTGTTGCTTGAGAACAATATTAGCTAAGTCATCCTATAAGCTTCAGATGTAACACGTGTATGTTTGAGACTCTTACTGTGAAGGACTATAGGAAGTTTGTTGAGTTCCACTATGGATGCGGCTATGGAAATGGCTAAAAAGTTGTACCTTCATTTCAGGAAAATGCATTTTTAAAATTTGTTTACTTGGTGAAAAACCCCAAAAATGTTTCATCTTTACATTTTGAGTTAATTTCTCCCAATTTTTTGTCAGTATTTTGTTCAAAATTTTTGCAAAAAATATTAAATAAATTTGGTTTTTGCAATATTACTTTTGCTTTCCCTAAATAAAATGTCAACTGTTTAAAATCAAAACAGAGTTTTTATTATATTTTGACTTTAACCCTGCTCTTCCTGGTTCTGGGTGGCCCTAACATGCCGTCTTACTAATAACACCGAGTACTTGATCAGGTCATGTGACCTTTAAAGCATGTGCTGTCGCCATGTAATGCCTCTCACACGGAAGAATAAAAAACGGCCCTGATGTGGACGTAAAACAAGCAAAAACAAGCAGTTTCATGTGTTTGTAAGCCGACAGCTTTATTATCGTCGCCACCTGCGGGGATGGTGACTCTCCTCTGGGCTGGTTTCCTACGTAAACAGCGGCTGAAGCTCAGCAGACCTTCTGGGAGAGGAAGACGGAGACGTCTTCATCAGGGCGCTGTCTCATTATGGCTTCTTCTGACAAACACACCACCTCCTCTCTGCTCCAATATACACTTTCCCGCTGCCAAAACCGCTCACGTTTCCCTTTCCTTTTGCACCTACTTCCTCTCTGGTGCACACGCACACACACACACACACACGCACACTTTTGGTTGTAATAAAACAGCAGATCAGAGTCATTGGCTGCTGACAGGGACTGACACTGAAACCTGCTGTTGTTGGAAGGCTGCCTGGGAGATGTTCATTACTCACAAGGCTTGTCTGTTTGGACAGGAGAGGAACGACGGTCTTATTAAGTGGAGACCTGGAGCAGCCGTAGGGGAAATACACACACACCTACGCGTGCACCCACACGGGCTCCGGGAGAGTTTCTGACGCAGTGGCTCCCAACCGAGCACCCTGATTGGCCGCCAAAAGTTGGGGCCTGTCAGAAAAATGTAAAACTTTCAGGCGATGGCGGGATTTGCTGAGCTAGGAAGTTTGACAGACAGACAGGCGGACAGACAGACAGGACTGTGACACGGCGACATCAGCGGAGCGGTGGAGGAAGTGAGCTCTGCTGTGGAGGAATGTCTCATTTACACACGAGCCTGGTGATATCGATCAGACTTTCTGATGTCTGGCTCATTGTGTAACTCTCACAAAAACACATCCAGTACTCCTGACACGGCTGAACCCAGAGCCTTGTTTCCATAGCAACTCGGCTCTCCATCTCTCTAAACATAGCCCTGTACACTTTACATCTGCTCAGATCATCAAGCACAGCTCAAGAGGATGTAAATGCCGTGGATGGTGGTGACGAAACGACTTGTTAGCATGGCAAAACTCAAAGAAAAACAACTTTTAATTCACGAGTCATCCATCAGGAGAAGAACTGGGAGGCAACGCGTGTCGAGGGGACCGAAAAGGACACCTGGTCGCGTTTATGCCGCCGTGCAGTCTCATCTCAAAGCCCCCAATTCATCTCACCTGCTTATTTTATTACTTTTCTGTTATTTTTTACTCCAAGTTTGCAAAATCCTAAAATAGAAGCATGCCTCTAAACAACGTGCTCCACTTCAGCCCCGAGCAGAAAAGGAGGCCGTCATAAATCAAAGCTAACGTGACGGTTCGGGGACGAGAGGGAAGTTGGCTGAATTTGCATTTGACGCAGTTTTTCACCAGTTCTTCCTTTAGTTTAGGTACAACCCTCCCTCTGTAGGTTCTTCTGTAACAAGGACCAGCAGGCCGCAGAAATACCGCCTCTCAAAAAGGTCCATTCAAGACATTTTCCACTCAAACCTACACCACTCATCCGTCTTTTCATTTCCTGATGAAGAACCTGGTGATGTCTGATGCAACCTTGGAGGCTTTCACGCTCTTCCTCATCTGGCTGCGTTCTCTGGCTTGCTGAGCCGTCCGCTGTGGAGGAGAGAAAAAAAAAGCATGATGTAAGAGGTTAAATCTGCAAAAAGAACACAGATCAACTCACCGAGCATCTTCAGATTTAAGCGTTGGCGCGTAAAGAGCGAGCAGATCCCCTTATCGGGGAGCGCAGTTCTCCACATCAGGTTATGGTCGTCTACATGCGACGCTTCTCCTTCCGTGTGACACCCACTCGGACTCAAACGCTCCCTGGCATCAAAGCCGAGTGCATTTAAGGCAACAATAACAGCTGCGTTTGAAACCCCTGCAGCTAAAAATCTTTAAAAGATGTTTTGTGATTCAGGGAAAAAAAGGTAAAAATTGAGCGAAGAGCCTGAAAGAGGGAAAGGACAGACTTTCCAACAAACGCTATCTATCAATATGTCCGGCAGCTGCATCAGCTGACGTTAATGCAGGGAATATATAGCTCTGAGGTGGGATAATATGACTTTTGATCAATGCGTTCGACCGTGTATCACATTACTGCCACCCAGTGTGATCCTCAACACGAGCGATGATAGAGGAGAGGGTCGTATGCCGCACATCTTAAATGTCAAACAAATTGCTTTTGCCCCCTCGAGCCCTTTGGCTTCGATGGCTGCTGCTGTGCTCGTTCCAGGATGTGGTGGCGTGAACGTACCGATCTGTGGCAGACTGTGCAGAGCGTCTGCAAGTTGTCCAGGGAGCACTGTCCGCCTCCTTTGTAGACGGGCCGGATGTGGTCCACCTGCCAGAAATGTCCCTCCACCGGAGCTCGGATCATCTCGTTCAGCTGGAAGCACGACAGGAAGGCCGGAGTGAGCGTTAGGGCCCTCACAAAAACACCAGACAGAAACTGTATCCAATATCCAGATGACAATGAAGAAGAAGAAGAAAAAAGAAAAAGAAGAAGAAAAAAAGAAGAAAAAGAAAAAGCAGAAGAAAAAGAAAAAAAAAGAAGAAGAAAAAGGAGAAGAAGAAAAGGAAAAAGAAGAAGAAGAAAAAGAAAAGGAAAAAGAAGAAAAAAAAGAAAAAGAAAAAGCAGAAGAAAAAGAAAAAGAAGAAGAAAAAAGAAGAAGCAGAAGAAAAAGAAAAAAGAAGAAGAAAAAGGAGAAGAAGAAAAGGAAAAAGAAGAAGAAGAAGAAAAAGAAAAGGAAAAAGAAGAAGAAAAGGAAAAAGAAGAAAAAAAGAAGAAAAAGAAAAAGCAGAAGAAGAAAAAGAAAAAGAAGAAGAAAAAAAGAAGAAGAAAAAGAAAAAGAAGATGAAGAAGCAGAAGAAGAAAAAGAAGAAGAAAAAGAAAAGGAAAAAGAAGAAGAAGAAGAAGAAGAAGAAAAAGAAGAAAAAGAAAAAGAAGATCTTTTCAAGATAAAAATCACGAGATGCTTCACAAAAACAAAAATTTAAAATATAAAAAGATTTTCGAAAAATGATTAAATATGTTTTAGATTAGCAAAAAAGACAATTATGATTAAAAATATAAAAAAAGAGAGTGAATAAGAAAGAGGGAAATCTGTGGATCCTGAGGAAAGTGGAGTAGGTAGGGAGAGCAGAATAAGAAGAGAGTGGTGAAGAGGGTCATAAAAATCCAGCCTGAATAGGTGAGTTTTCAGCTGCTTTTTAAAGGAGACCACTGAGTCCACAGCCAACCATTTAAGTCAGTGGTCGGCTCAGTGGAACCTGACTGACAAGGTGAAGTGGACTAAACCATCTGAAAGAGAAACACATTTGGTTCTATTCTAAAGAAACTCAAGAACAAGGTCTGCAACACCCAAAAGTAAGACATGGCGTGGTAGTGTGAGGGTCTGGGACTGCTCTAACCTGCTGTAACAACAATAACGACGCAACGGCAAAGTAAGCTAAGCAATGTTTTCCGAATCTTGCGTACATGAATCTTGTTGTATTAGCTTAAATAATCCACAATGCACTCCTAGCCTCTACCATCCAAACCAGTAACGGTAAAGTAGTAGGGGTTCTTTAATCATCAGACACACCGAAAACACAAATTTTGTGTCTGCGTTTTGTTTTGATCTTTTGCAATTTTGATATTGTGTACAGTAATATTGTAAAAGCGATATAAATCAGAAACGATAACCGACGGCAGGGTGAGAGTTCCACGGCTGTTTGTGTTTAAAAGTTAGCTTGTTTTTTAAATTCTTTTTACTATGTATATGCTCCCAATTGGTAAAATCATTAGACAGCATGGGATAAACTTCCACTGTTATGCTGACGATACTCAGTTATATTTATCCATTAACCCTGATGAACCTAATCGGTTGGGTAGATTACAGGCTTGTCTTGAGGACATAAAAAATTGGATGACTCTAGGGCTGCAACAAACGATTATTTGGATAATCGATTAATCGGATGGGGTCTCGACACGATTAATCGATTAATCGGATTACATGGGGAAATTTTTAAAAACTGCTAGGGAAACGTTATTTCTCTCCTTCCTTCACTTTATTTAACACAACATTATTAGAAAACAGTTCAATAGCAGAAAAACAACATGCCATCACCTAAATTGTCTTATAAGGTGTATAGACAGAGACCCTAAGCTACATCTATCTGTGACCTAAAATGCTTGGTCCAAGTTAAACAGCGTAAGGGCAATTCTCATCTGTTTTGTTTGATCTCATCTGTTGACATTTATTTTAAATGTAATTAAACATAGGCTGTGAATTTATCAAAATTGATCACTATTTCCAAAAATGACTGAAAAAATACCAAATAAAACAAAAGTAAATGAATGCCATCCTCCTTGCGATGATGCCCTGGGCAACTGCCATAAAGTCACATCAAGAAATGCTGCTGATCATTCCAATGATCCCAAATAGACTCACATTAGGCCACATGAAAGCAACTGAACCCAAAAATATATTAACCAGTATATAACTGCACTCTCACACAACACGCCTGAAGCAACAGTTAGGACTCCTCCCTCCCTTTTAAAAGCGTTTTTGCTTCTGAGGACATTGTGGTTGTAAAACCACATGCTAGTAGTCTGGCCCCGGTGTGATCAACCAGTTTCTGCGGGAATGTGACGGCGGAACCAGGGCCAGATTAACACTTTGTTGTACCCTGGGCAACAATATTCAAGGGCTCCATCATCACGACCCAAGGATCACCATAATGTGGTCACATACAGAATATTTTACTGTAATATGCAGTAAATATACTCAATACTTGAATGCCTGACAACACGTAACCCGCCCAGAGTAACCTTTGACCCACCTCGTGTGGACTGACCAATGAGGAGAGGGTCTTAACTTGAGGCCCTCTCTTCATTGGTCAGTCTGCATGAGACTGACTCTCAACTGACGTTCAGTCGTAGGCAGCGAAGCGTCTCTGTGCAGTGCAAAAGCCCGGGTGGACAGTTTGTTTAATATAGGGTGACCATATTTCCATTTCCAAACAAGAGGACAGGGGATCTGTGCCTATGACGTCACACTATGGCAACGCCACACAAACCATGTTGGGACCCATTTTTTGTAAGAACTAAATTAATATCAGATTCTGCCAATTAAAGGGCTCTAAAACAATTCATATGTAAATATTTTGCATATTTAATGCAAAATCTAATTTTTCTGCTTTAGTGCTGCAACAAGGTTTTATTAATAATAAATTATTATACCTTTTGTTTTACTACAGCATCGGTAAGCTTCCTGTGCACAGATTATTAAGGATGCTTGTTTCAACTGTGAGATTAGACGATAGGATCAATGAAAAAATAAGTTGTCACAAACTCCATGGAAACTTTCAGAGAATCCACAAATAGTGGCTTTCAAATGGTTTTGTTACTTTTTGCAAGTTTATAAAATAAGCAGATGAGACAGCATGTCTGATAATTTAGTTTTTCATCTGATAATATTAGAACATGTCAGTAATGTCTGAGGGGCTTTTATAAACACCATATAACTAACACTACTGGAGAGGGCATGAATTACACAGAGGCTTCTGGGGAGCCCAGTTATGGGGGGGGGGGGGGGGGGGGCATTTTGCCTTGGCCCCCAAAATGTCTTGAAACGGCCCTGGGTGTGTGACTGAGTTTTGAAGGTGATCTGAATTGTATCAGATGTATAAATATGACATGTGTATAACTTATTGTTTTTTACTGGTAAAAACGTGTAGTGGAGATAAATCTACCTACATTTTACTTTTCAACACTTTGTTTTGTTTTCTTGTTTTTATTGAACTATTTTCCTGTCCTGTCTGTCTCTCATCTTCCTGCATCTCCTCTTAATTCTCCAGAAAATCTGTTGCCTGGATTCTTACCTTTTCACCTCATCAGTTACTTTTGAGCAGGTCAAAGAGATCTCCTGACCGAAAAGCGCAGAGCGCGTTTTCGATGCTGCGTGAGGCCGGGGACACACTGGCCGCGGAAGCGCCGCGAAGCGCCGCGAAAATGGGACCACCTTCATTCGGCGCCCTTGTTAAGCTATTCTATAGACCACATGGGCCGCCGAAGCGCCGCGAATCGCCTCGCGCCGGCGCGCCATCCCGCGCCGTGCAGCGATCATTTCGGCGTTGGCTCTATTTTTTTCGCGAGCCGCGGGTGAATCGCGTCAATTCTGGCAGGAAGTCAAACGTAGACATAAGAGGCAGGCCGGTAAAGTTAACAAAATAAAGCATTTCAAAATAAAATTCCGCAATAGTCAAATGTGTTCGTAAACAGACACTGCAGAAAATCCACACGAACACGCACACACATACACACACATCGAACTTGTGTGCGTGTGTGACCACGTGAAGGGGGGAGTGGTTTTGGGTGTCTTTTCACCGGAGCAAACAGGACAGAGAGGCAGAAAGTCTGAGGCAAGCAGTTAGGATGGATGACTTTAAATTAATTATGGAAGTTGAGAAACACAAGGAGCTGTACGACCCCCGAAAAACATGATTGTTTACGTACCCATGTCGGAAGAAACTGCTAGGATACAGCTGCAGAATTGGAGCGGGTTCCAAGAGATTCAACTGGCAGAAACAACTCATACCATAGGTTCACACACACACGCGCGCGCGCGCGCACGCGCACAAACACTCAAACGTAGGAAAAGAGCTGAGAAAAGGCAGAGAGGAAATGGAGGACACCAAGTGTTTAAAAGAAAAACTACAGCTGAGCCGAGGCGCGCCTCGACTGGGGCGCGTCTGATCTGAACTGAGGAGCGGCGAGCAGCGGCCGAATTTCGTGAGCGATTCGCTTCTCGGCGCTTCGCGGCGCTTCCGCGGCCGGTGTGTCCCCGGCGTGAGGTGACATCACCACAGCACAGGTGATGAGCTCCGCAGTAGCGCGCTTCAGGCACAAATAACGCCGGGGACACACCGGCCGCGGAAGCGCCGCGAAGCGCCGAGAAGCGAATCGCTCACGAAATTCGGCCGCTGCTCGCCGCTCCTCAGTTCAGATCAGACGCGCCCCAGTCGAGGCGCGCCTCGGCTCAGCTGTAGTTTTTCTTTTAAACACTTGGTGTCCTCCATTTCCTCTCTGCCTTTTCTCAGCTCTTTTCCTACGTTTGAGTGTTTGTGCGCGTGCGCGCGCGTGTGTGTGTGAACCTATGGTATGAGTTGTTTCTGCCAGTTGAATCTCTTGGAACCCGCTCCAATTCTGCAGCTGTATCCTAGCAGTTTCTTCCGACATGGGTACGTAAACAATCATGTTTTTCGGGGGTCGTACAGCTCCTTGTGTTTCTCAACTTCCATAATTAATTTAAAGTCATCCATCCTAACTGCTTGCCTCAGACATTCTGCCTCTCTGTCCTGTTTGCTCCGGTGAAAAGACACCCAAAACCACTCCCCCCTTCA